TGTTATTTTCATTTTTTTACAGCACTAAGTCGATACTGCTGCATGCTGGTCCTTGAGGGTATCATTTGATCAGTAGTCAGTTCTTCCGTACTGCCATGATTTATAACAAAACTGAATTAAATTGTACATTTTTAAATCTAAAAATAACTAAGAACCAAGGTTTCAACACCCTCAAACAAAGCTGACCTTAGATGGGTTTGGCTATTATGTTTATGCTCTCTTTTTTAGGTTGATAGTTCTTCAATTGTTTCGGTTCTTATACATCATTGGATCTCAAATATTCTGCTTTGAGCGTTATTGAAATTTCTAATATATGCTGAAGATAATTCTTAAATGCATGAATATATCAGTCTTTAGATTTTTATCTTTCTTTTTTTTTTGTACTTTTGTTTATCTTTTGCATTGTTTTGGTCATTTTTCATTTTTGCAATGGCGTTTTCAGTCAGTCATCGGTTAGTGATTTTGTAAATCCCTTAGTATCTTACGCATCTCTTTTATGTTAATAATAGACGCAAGTGACAAAAGGACTACTAAAAGGAATACCCATGATGCACTGTAGTTAGCTTTAGCGTAATATCGCAATACATATGTAATACTACTGTGCATATCATTGTCATTAAAATGGAGAAAAAAGGATAAATGTGGCAAAATTATCTAATTTTCGATATTATTCAGTATGTTAAAGAATCTATGCAACGACTAACAACAGCTATTTACTTACATCAACTGCGCTATAGTCCCCATCGGTAACTGCACGAACTTGTAGGTGCCTGCATATCCCCAGACTACTGGAAAATAGGCCTATAAAAATCAATAGCTCTATTTTTAAAATAACACACGTTTATTATAAAATGATGAATACTGTTCAAGTATAAACCTACTTATACTTTTTGAAAAGGATTTATTAGTGTTATACTAACAATATATATATGTGCTATCCACGTTTAAGCAGGTTAAAGATACCCTTATAAGTATATAAGTACTGCGACTGACCTCGAAACAGACGATTATTAAACGAGTTTAATGTACCGGATTTACACACGGATGGAACGGGTTTAACTGATAATGTATGTTAAGGTTGCTCACCCAATATGTTCAATATAACAAAACTATAAACAACCGACATAAAGTGGAGGGTTTTGCTGGCTATAAAACCAGGTTGAACCCATAATTTTCTATAAAAATTGTCTGTACCAAGTCAGGATAATGGCAGTTGTTTTTCACTTTTTACGTTGCTTGATACCGCTTGATTTTGTCATTATTTTACTGACTTCTCTGTTTTGAATGTGCATTGGATATAGTTATTTTTGTTATCCTTTATATCAAAATGATAGAATAACACCAATACTGTACTTATGTCTGGTCGTTAAAAAATTCTTTAGTCACATTTTTGTATTTAACCAATACGTGTTGGTCTATAGATATTTGGTGCATTTAAACAAATTTCGGATTATTATTTGTTATCAGAAAGTAATGTCACCTGAAAATGAGTAATTATAATCATATAAAACGGTCTCATACAACTGTCAAGGTCTTAGTTCAAAACCGAATCGCAAAGATGTGTTTGACTTTCTTAAATCAAAAAAAGGGTACATGTTGTGATATGGATTGCTATACAAAAACTTTGAGTATAAAATACATAAACTGAAAAAGATGACCATGGACATTAGTTAAGATTTGATATGGATATCGGAAGAAAAAAGAATGACCCTAATAAGCCTATATTATTATCTGGATTGAGGGTCCTTTATTTCCTTATTCTTTTTAACTTCTTGTACCATTTTGCCCCATTCTTTATCTTTTTTCCCATTATTATCTATTCCTTCGATTTTTGGCATTTCATAATTCTCTATTCATTATTGTTGTTTATATTTTCCCTGTTGTTTATGTTTTTGGTCCTTTATTCTGCAATTTTTGCTCATTATTCTATATAAGTAAAACCTATCCGGACCCGCCTATACGGCTAAAACAAAGATTCCCCATATTTTTATATAACATTAAGTGAAATGATAAAAAAAAACTTTAAAAACCAGTCAGTTGTCATAACAACTTAAAAATGAATAAACTATTAGAAAATACTAAACAATAAATAGTGAAAGCTTGGTATACCTGTGCCGGACAAACAAATGTAAAATGAAATTTAGAATGGAAATGGAGAATGTGTCAAAGAGACAGCACCCTGACCAAAGAGCAGAAAACAGCTGAAGGCCACCAATGGGTCTTCAACACAGCGAGAAAATCCCGCACCCAGAGGCGGGCTTCAGCTGCCCCCTAAACAAAAATGTGTACTAGTTCAATGAAAAGTGACGTCACACTAAACTCCAAAATATATAAATGAACTAAAATTAAAAAACTTACAAGATTAACAAAGGCCAGAGACTCCTGATTTGGGACAGGCGCAAAAATGCGGAGGGGTTAAACCGGTTTGTCCTCTTTTCGGAAGGAGTCGATAAGTCTTGAACAGAATTACAAAATAATCTTGTGCCAAAAAAGGAAGAAGAGTTTGTACAAAATTTTCTTTAGGAACAATTAGAATATCAAGATAGGAACAGAATATAATAAGACTGGCAGATAAAGGGAACATTTTGGATGCATGATCTATAAGTTATGAGGCGTTAACAAGTGACTTTTGAACAATGCCAAAATATCTATAAAATTAATTCACACTTTCTTTTTTATAGAGAGGTAATTTCAGCAATAAAGGCATCTTCAAATCTCTCAATAATAATATATCTATAGACATTCTTTGAAAAACTGATGGACCAATTACTCCAATTAATATAAGAATATGCAAGATTATGTACAGTTAAATTGAAAAGGAAAAAAAAAGAAATCGTATGAATTAGCCTGTTGCAATGTATTCAAGTTACCTTATACTTGAATTATCTTCAAATGTTAATAATATCATTTTACGGACGTCATCACGTGTTGGTTGATCGTTATGGAATATACGTCTCACAGATGAAAATGAATATGTTCAAATTGTCGTGACTACAATCCCGTCCCTTTTTCCTGAATGTGACTACCGATATAGACTTATCACCTGGTTTGTACCGACATGAGCAACAGGACGGGTGCCATATGTGGAGCGGGATCTGCTTACCAATCCGAAGCACCTGCGATCACCCCTATTTTTTATGAGGCTCGTGTTGCTCAGTCTTTAGTTTTCTTTGTTGTGTTTTGTGTACTGTTGTTTGTCTGCTCATCTTTTTTTTTCTTTTTTAGCCATGGCGTTGTCAGTTATTTTTGACCTATGCGTTTTAATGTCCCTTTGGTATCTTTCGCCTCTCATTTTCAAAGCAATCACCATGTGTTGACACTATTGATGTTGTATATATCTAACTTGTAATAAAAAAAAAGGGTGATAAACGTTGATACACTATCCGATATTTGAGAATATGAGATGTGAATAATAAATATTTCCCTTTATCTATCGGTATGTATGAATACATATAATATCAACATCACATATTTTAATTAGATTTGCTTTCAAACGCAAACACGTAACATATGTTCTTACGTAGTGTGGTGGTAAAACTAAGACAAAATGTGTTTATATTTATAGAACATATCAAATAACATGTTAATATATCAACTAGAGTTTCCATAGCATAAACTGATTTGAGAGATTTTGATGAAATCTATAATGAAAAGAACCACAAAAAGTACACTTAATTTTACTAAAATGCTAAGAAAAGTAGTTATAGATAGTCACATAATTTAAGTAACTGTGTGACATGCCTTTTGCACTATCTTTAATAAACAAAACTGTTAGCCTGTAAATTTTATTGAAGTGTATGTACACAGAATTGGTCTAAATACAGATTTTTAAAATTATCAATCTTTCATTCCTAAAAATTGAGATACAAAACGAATCACAAAAATATGCCTGATGCAAATCTATAACACAATGGTCAAAAACAAAAACAAAGAAAAGACAAACAACATAAAGAACAATGCACTGAAAACAAAACATTGAGACCAGAATTTTGTTATTCTCCTAAATCATTGCTCCAGGTAAGGCATCAGGTTGCAACCTCAATTTTTACCCCGCGTCTTACGTAATATGCCTGTTCAAAACCTGTCATTGTTGTCCAGGGGTTGTCGTTGTATGTCGTCTGCCATACTTATGAACTATTTCACATTTTTTGGTCAAATGACCGTAAATAGTTTACCCTATACGGCACGGAATTTACTCATTGTTGAAGACCTTCCAGTGAGCAGTAGTTACTTACATTCCTGTTCTTTTAGTATTTGGTTGCCTCTTGTCACATTGGTAATAATGCCACATCTCCTCATATTTATATTTTGCATCTTTATTTGTTTTGTCCTTCGTATCCCAATTGTAGACCAGAATTGTTAAATACATAGCTTTTCAAAGATAACGATTAGCTGTACATATGGATATTGAACTAAATGTACTCTTGAACGATGTTAGTCCGTTTTGGGATTCAAATATCACAATTACGTTTTGTATACTAGAGTTTTTTTTTATTGAATTAGAAAGGTTGTCCCCATAATAACTCTTGTAAATATACTTAAGAGCATTTCATTTGTGCATAGATACTAATGACAGGTGGTTTACTTTGCAAAAGTCATTTTCCATGGACATGCCATTGTTATATGTAAATAAAAACGAAGTATGGATTTATCTTTAATAGTTATATTTAACATGTCAAAGAGAAAATAGACATGAACTCTAGTTGCTTGTTCATGAATACAACTCGTTATTACGTGTATTAACGTTGTTTGAAATTATCCTTCAATTAATAAAAAAAAAATAACGTTAAATTGATTGATGTCAGTGAAAATGTCGGTCATCATGTTAAACAATATTTAACTGAATAAATATAGCTTTCGAAATTTTTTTTTTTTTTTTTAGTAAATTAAGTTCTTCCTGGAAACACACATGACAATGATATGATTATTTCCTGTTTAACCTATTCATGATACTAATATAATGATAGGAAATATGTTTGTTGGTACCATAATGTGTCAATGGCTAATACAACACTCTTCACATCTGTTATCATGTTTATCAATATGTTTAGTAAGTATATACTCGTTGAATACATTAAGAAAAAAAGCATTTATTTAACTTATCTACAATGTTCTATTAAAGAAAAAAAAATAGATGATAAGTTAAAACAATACATTTGAATTATTAAAATTTCTTATTTACTATAGACATGATAGAGATTGTTGCTTTAGGAGGAAATGAGCTCCTTTATCCATGCCATCATACGGATTTGTTTAGTACTGCTGTTGAGAGCAGTTAATATTGATGAAAAGCATATAGTCACTCAATTATTGATAAAAAGTTGAACTGTATGCTACTTTCATTTGGTTGAACTAAAAATACATGCAACAGTACCTAGCTAATAAAAATTATGTGCTGTTATAGTGGCAACTTTACGTTACAATATTGAAAAATATTGAATCTCTTATTCCGAAAAAGTCTAAGAATGATAGCCTGTCTTTTTGTTCTTCGTGCTGATATTTTCAAAAGTGTTTAACGTTTCGTGATGCATCAATCTTTATCTTGTGTCATTCGTAATTACAAACTGACACCGCTAAAGATGGCATTACAAAAATAATGTTTAACAATTTTTATGATTGTGTTGATTTGCCTGAATTGATTAAAACAATTGACAACCCTTCAATTTCTTTTTTCGATTTTTAAGGTTCTTATGTACTTCTTCCGCTTGGCGGCTTACATTTTTTGGGGCTGATTGGTCCCCATTATTAGTAATTCACTAGTTCGTTTCGAAATAGACAGATAAGTAGACGTGGACTGAATAAACCTGCAAAGGTTACACAATAAACGCAGTTTTTTCACAGTTTGAAATCAAATATGTAAATTTAAATTTGATAGCCAAATATTTTTCTTTCAGTTTTGACGAAACAAGATTTACATTCCTTAAAAACAAAATGGATGACTCATTTAGGTAAATATATAATACCTTTGTCTTTTATGTTTCATTTATTACCATGAATGCCATCGGTACAATTGACATTGCAAAATGAGCATACAATGTCATCGTAGTTAATAATTTTCCATAATCGTATTTTTATATGTACCATTGTAATAACTTGTATTATTCCCTGTTTATTGAATCAATGGCCTCAATGATTGTGTGGTATAAGTAGTTAATATTCATCGATCACTGACCTGTCAAGACTGAACTTTAACTCGTTCACGTGCCAAGCGTATTCGAAAGGTGGTGTTTGCGTGAATCATTAGCAGCACTTGATTTGAAGGCGATAAACTTATAATCCAAATTTAAATTCATGTCTGTTTTGACAGAAATATAGTTTCATCTAAATATACCATCTGGGAAGGGGTATCATGTAAACTTGCATCCTCTTTTGTCTTGGATATGTAGATAACTTTGAATGATTCAGAAAGTCTTATTTCTTTTTAACCAGAATAACTGCGTATTACTTTTTAAATGCAAAGCAATTAGAAAAAAAATACATGAACAGAATTTTAGTCGTTTATTTTTAGGCTTCTTTCAACATACAACATATTACATTATGACGCCAAACAACAGTGATGTGCAAACACTTAGATTAAACAAGCAAACTTGTATAGACATTTCTACAAATGTATGAGGTCATGCCCTGTCGAGTACAATGGAACAAAAATGAGTTTGGAGAAATATCATCATGTAAAATAATTTGATAAATCCAATAGTGGCAACATTCAAATCGTCGTCAATTAATAGAAAAATAATGCATCCTGTTAACAGCAATTGTAGCTTTATTCTAATTTACTATTTTCATTTTAGATTGTTTCGGAGTAAAGGAATTGACAGATTTGACAAAAGTCCAATTGACAAGAATAACCAACAACCAACCTAAAACATGTTCAAGACATTGTATGAAATGGAATTTCTTTGCTGTGCTGGTAAGTATTGGTTCCGAATACCCTGTAAAAAATAGTAGTAATTAGTTTCAAGGTTTTTAACCGAATAATACTAATTATTCACTTCTTATAAACAAAACTCTATATATAAATTCACAGATGCTTAAATATTCACTTCACTATTTGTAAATATCACACAGAAAATTATATCATAATACGAGACGATAATACATAAACACCACATCATTTTGTAAATTTATTTCATAGTTAACAATAAAATTCAAAGAAATAACAACATATGCTTTATCGATTCGTTAACTCTAAAACTACTGAACCATACACAAGTAGATACTCAGCCTTAAACGTCCATTTTGATATGGACATCATCAGAAAAATTTGAACTTTAAAACGTTTAGTCTTGCCTAGAGTTAATATTATTTTTCGGATATTTTCCGATTGTAAATCAAAAACTGTTCATACACATCGCTTGCTGTTTAGTGGCTTTACAGACAGTATGGTTTTCTTTTGACTAATCGTATATTAATTGATTGCAAAAAAGTAGTAAAGTCAGTTCTCAAATTACCACGATTGAAAAGTATAAAAGTTGACTGAATGATTACCCAGCCTTCAACATTTATTGTTCAGTATTTTAAAACTTTAAAACAAAGACGGCCGTTTTATGTATAAATACATTCAAGTTATACATTTAACTTACCTGATGACGCGTAGAAACCGAATCATGATTAGTCGTTGAATTGAAACTGATTTAATTTATTGATTCAATTTATTAATTTTTAATTAACTGAATAGTTTTATCGGCTTGCAATTTTCACACATTGCGCTTCGCGCATGGTAAACATGGTAAACATACGTAAATTGCGTTAATTGGTCGTCTTACATATCAGGCGTATTAATTAAGATAGCTAAGCACCCGAGGGCAATTGCTTATTTTATATCAATTAAACATTAGTTTGTTCGTCATCATTTTTCTTCTGTATACTGTAGTACTAATACATGATGTACGTCCATACAACTTACTTTTCAAAATTATTTTGTCGTAATTAAAGTATATATCGGGTTAAGGACTGCCTTCAAAAGTTTGTTTTCGATCTTAAAATTCATTTTTTTTTTTCCTGTTTTCAAAACAATGATAAATGTTAAATGAGTAAAATGATGATTTTTAGAAAGTATTTTGCGCATTGTTGAAGGCAGTATGCTGATTTATAGTTAACATCCTCTTCCATTAGATTCACACCGATAGTTGTCACATTGTCAATATTTAACATTGTCTTTGTTGTATATATGTTCTACTTTTAGGACCACAAATGTTTCTGTTTCGATGAAGGCATGTTTAAGAACTTAAGGGAAAATATGTTGAACAGATGTCATAGAATGTGTCCAGACTATACAGATAACATGTACTGTGGATCTAGTGATATGCAATATGCCAATGTATACAAGCGAGAACAAGATAAACATTGTAGAAAATTAATTTTTTTCCCAGCATTTATATTATTCTCTATTGTTGATTTATTATATCGTTCAAAACTTATGACTGCATTTATGATACGGGTTGAACAAGGGTATATAAATATGGAATAGTAAACAAATTTAGATATGAAACGGTCATATTCAGTCTTTCTTTCAATTTCCAATCTTATCCACTGCGGTAAATTTAGTTTTTTTTTGGGTCTTTGAAAACTTTCTTTGACGGGTATATACAAAAATATTGTGTAATTCTAAGGAAAAATGCTTAAAATTTGACTATTTACAAAATGGGAAGGATGAATTCCAGTGATGAATTCATCATGTTTTTAAAAGAATTTAGCCGAAAACTTAAGAAAGCAGGTAAGATTAAAGTTATTTAACCTGACAATTCAACTTACAAGGTGTTTCCCTATATGCGGACAAATCATTAACAATATCTTCTAGTATCTTAATTTCTATTTTGAATCTTGCTTTTTTACGATTTTTCGTTATTTTATATACCAATTATACCACGGTTACGCTTCCGATTTTCAAACTAAAAGGTCGAAAGTATTTAAAGTAGACAATGTTCATTTGTACACGGACAGAAGCCAAAAAACATGTACAATTCACCTATATTCGGACAAATTGTTGATTCGACATAGGAATTGGCATATTTGCATTTATATTTAAGGGGCACGTATAATCTTATTGTAATGGCTGTCGTCAATATCAGGCAATATGGCCTCTATGCAATTAGCAATGTACCGCAAATTTTGCCATATGATGTTTCCTCAAACCATGAAAATTGGTACCCACGAAAAAAAATGAATCCCCTGTAAGCAATTTAACTGATACAAGACTGCGAATTACTTTTAGTTTCACAACGATATTTGTCAATAACAATGTCATCAAAATATGCTGATACAATCGATCGAAAATGCTGCTGTCTCGGTAAATTAAAAGTACTCTTTGCAATAGACAAGTACGAACAATGTGAGGATTTAGTACACTTTTATAATGTTTGTATTTTGAAGGTTTGCCAGCCATTGTTAAAGACCAGAACTTCGACTGTCTGAGTGTCATTAGAGATGAAAAGCATATAATCAGCATTAAACAAATGGCATGTGACCAGCCTGTTTCGTTTATATGCAGTGGACATAGTTTGTATTAACTAATGCAATTAAACAAAAATCTACGGTCTTACCCGTTTGACTTAATTCTAATTCCATTGTGATCCTGTCTTGGAAAAACATTTGACTGTTAATCATATCATAGAATATAAGGGTAAATGTCCATTTACAGACAAAAAAGAGATACTTTGTGTCATTTTAACTTTTTCGAAACATGTTTGAAATTTCCCTATTTCTACTTGGTCGTTGGGTTTTTCACATTATTGTTTGATTTCGTTCATAATTGTTATCATATTAAATCTTACATTTTTTTTGTGCATCAACCTTGTTTTGATTACTGCTCAAATGTGTCGCCACTAAACTCTTGATGTTTTTTTTTACAATTTTAAATGAATTTATGTAATGTTCCTTTCTTTGTACGATAGTGTTTAAACCAAATATATTTCCCTAAATTTTCACGTGTCGTTATAGATAATAAACCCGTTGAAGACAAATTGACGTTCACAATGGCAAAGCATTATTGTGAAAACTTTCAAAGTAAATTATTGAACCTCAACGATAGTTTACCTCCGAAGTCAGAAGACAACGTCTCTTATTGGATCGGAACATTCAGACAACTTATCTACCGTCACGGTATGTACACTATTTTGAAATTCCAATTCACTGTTTAGAAAAAAAAATTAATTTATCAAAATACTAAGAATTTTTAACACCAGGAATACATGTAGGTTGTTTCAGCAAAATTTCGCAAAATATGTTGGACTTTTTGGTCGTCAATGCTTTTCAATTTCGTACTTGATTTCGCCATTTGATTTGAGCGTATTTGATGAGCCTTTTGAAGACGAAACGCACCTCTGGAATATACAATTTAAATCCTGGTATCTGCTTTTATCCAATTTTGAATAATGGAAGGGAAAATAATCTGATAAAAAGTACAGATGGAATTACTTGATGTCTCATTCAACAAAATTTAAAAAAAAACAAATTCAATTAAATGCATGAGTTTTATCACTGGTCCATTCCCGACTTTTTTAAAACTAATTATAATGTAGAACGTTCCTATCATAATTTCCTTGATAAAGGTTTTCTGCTCACAAGGAGGCTATTAAACCAAGAGTTCAAAGTGGTGAAGTTGAAATCGTCATTTGTAAAATTTTACGGACGCCATCACGAGTTGGTTGACGGTTGTGGAATATCACATGTGGAGCAGGATCTGCTTACCCTTCTAGAGCACCTGAGATCACCCCCAGTTTTTGGTGGGGTTAGTGTTGCTCAGTTTTTAGATTTGCTATGTTGTGTTTGGTGTACTGTTGTTTGTCTCTTTGTCTTTTTTTTTTCTTTTTTAGCCATTGCATTGTCAGTTTATTTTCGACTTATGAGTTTGAATGTTCCTTTGGTATCCTTCGCCTCTCTTTTAAAACGTATATTTTGCTGAAAGAACCACTCACTTTTTATGTTCTAACGTATGCTGATCACTATTTCACCCACAATAGAGTACTAACAATAGATTGAAATATGCCAGTTTGTGTGTAATCTTATATCCTTAGTGAAGAATTTCGTCAGTGTTTGTATTTTAGAAAATAGAAATTGTCATCATGAAATTAAGATTAAGTTAACTTTTCTAGACTCTTGTCGCCTAAGAGCATTCTATATAGGTATTACAAGTAATCAGAATACATATAATATGTTTTTACCTCATTTCAGAGAGTACATCTTCTGGTATATTTGGAATAACAATCGAAGACGATATTCAGACAGAGGTTACTCATTATACATTCCATATACACCAAGGTATGCATATGCAAAACTAAGTATAAAACATTAATTAAAACATTGAAATATACATTTAGTTTTAAACGGAACATACACACTCAACTACTTATAAGTCGACAGTGTAGTATTTTGGCTAGGCTAGTAAGTTTAATCGATACAGCATCGGAAGAAACACGTATTTTACAAGACAAATTGTATTTACTGATCAGATGCTGATACTCTGGATAAAAACGTGAAAAGTGTCAAAAAGTCTTTGTTACACAGTAAACGTAAATTTTGTGTTAGAGCATTGTTTAATAAGGAATAGCATAAGACATGGGATATGTGTCAATAAAACAGCAATCCAACGATTAAAAATAACCAAATTAAAGGACATGAAGAGTTCAATAAACTGTCTCCATAAAAAAAACTGGTGCATATACTATTGTGTTAAGCTCAAAATCATCCCGATTCTGTTAGAGTGCTTAATATTTTAAACAGAAACAATCAAATATTTGCCATCATCATTAAATCCTAAACAAATTAAGAAGATTAAACCTTTTCCTTGATTTTACAAATATTTTCTCTTGAGTAACATGAGTAAGGATATTTCACATATTCGATAATTAACGACAAAATTTCGAAAAAAAGATATGCAGATAGGTTTAAAAGCGATTCCTTAAATATTTGAAAGCCTTAAACAAATATATTAGTCAACAAAAGTAACGATACACAAGTTTGAACTCCAATTTATCATAAAATATAATAAATAGGAAAAACTGTTAAATTATCCAAAGAAAAAACATTCATTTGCCAAGCAAATGCATATGAATAAAAGAATCTGACCAAATTGGAAAGTGAGAAAATACCGTTATTGAACACAGGGGTCAAATTTATTTTGCGGAAAATGAATACAAAAGTCGGCACTTAATTTCGAAGATGAGAAATAAGTATTCAAATATCTGCAAAGGCATTTAAAATTTTAAGCAGACCATGTTTAAGTTTAAAGTTTTAAGTTCTAATTTCGATTTTTCATTTTTTTTTGGTGAAAAAACGATTTTAAAAAAAAAAATTGCAAAAAACAAAAAATTCGCGTATTTGCCTTAAATCAATGGTTTTGATAACAAAATAACACTCTGTAAATACATTGCATTGTATCGTTTATTTTGTTGACTAGTATATGTACGACAGAACTTAAAACAGTAGTACTGATATCTTCCAGCAGGATACAAATTTACTTCGTTGCATATTGTATACGGCTAAATAAAATTTGAATATCACATTTGTACTGGGTTATATTCCCATAATAAAGCAATAGGTTGCTGTAATAGGTCAGGATTTTGGGTATTTTCTGCAATTATCAAACTAGTATTGTTGCCGATGAGATCAATTCGTATCAAAGATCAACGAATACCTAGTCCATTACAAAAGACAAGATCAAGTCTTACCCAACTAGTTCAGACGTACCAACTCTCATTCAAAATTGCAGAGAAATATAAAAGGATTAAAAGCGCATGATCTTGTGTAAATTCAAGTAATACAAGTGGTTATAATATGCTTTCATATTCCAAGGAAAAACAACGCCGGGAATTTTAAGAATTACAAACGAAGATGATATTCAGACAGCGGTTAATCAAATTACATGCAAAGTAAAACAAGGTATGAATATGTTTCTATACGATAAGACATTCATTATACTCATGCTACGGTAGATTCGTTCAATTTTTGGTGGGTACTAGTTTTCGTGGATTAAGGAACATTTGTATTTTCCTGATATTTAATTTCGTGGTTTTGCCAAGATCTACATACCAGCCTTTACAAATTGGTTCCTTGTTGAATATTTAAACTCATGGTTCACCTTTTCCCACGAATTCCATGAAAATTGGTATATCAGAAATAATAATGTATCCACCGTATTTATGATCGAACGAAACATGAAAGTTTGAAACAGTTTGGTGGACAATTCGTTTCCTACATCTCGTAATTTGTGGCAACTATCTACTTGCTTACTTTAGCGTTTTCCAAGAGATAACTTTTTCGATCGAAGTATATGAATACAATAATGACCACACGCATTATGTGTCGTAAATTCGTATTCCTTATCTTTTCTTTTCC